ATTAATTGGATACATGTGTGTGTGTGTGTGTGTATATATATCTTTCACAGAATCAATCCCATACAAGAATATGCCGAGCTCAGCATGTCTGGAAGCACAGGAGAACGTTCTTTTGCTGATATTATTACCAGTATACGATACTGGATCATTCATGGTATTACTATACCTTCCCTATTCATAGGGGCTGGTTATTTGTCAGCATATCTTTAGCTTATGATGTGTTTGGAAGCCCTCGTCCAAACGAGTATTTTACAGAGAGTCGACAAGGAATTGCATTAACAACAGAAAAAACCGCAACCCCTCCACAGATCTTCACTAATTACAAATAAAGATCACAAATATTTCCAATATAAGTTTATAGATTTTCTCACACCACGCCAAAAAATAGGAAAAGCGGTATGTTCTAACCTTCACTAATTCGAAGTCAACCATCGATCAAATGGATAACAAAATTATGAAGAAAAAAATTAAGCCTTTCTCTTTGTCAAATCAAATTCTCAATAAACCCTAATCAGATCAAATCCCCTTCCCGCAAAAGGGGAAAAACCCACAAATAAAAAACGAACTGATAGTCAGATACCTTGCTGGAGCTGCTGGTAGTGGTACCGATAGCGGTTTCAGCGTGGCTACCATTAGACGATTCATGGTTCCCGTAGTCCTCATAAGAGCAAAGAATATCATCGGACCCAAAATCGAACCCTTTGGATCCACCGAAGTTGCCCCGACCCGATAACCCGGAAGCCATTTTCCTTGAAACGAATAAAACACAGGCTGACCCCAAATCGAAACAGAAAAATTAGATCTAAGTTGAAAAAAACTAAAAGTTTAGATTGATAATCGGATGTAATGATAGTTTAGATATTAAATGCTTACATAAATTTTAAAGCGTACATGATTTTACAATTGGGTAAACAACACTGATGGTCACTTTTATTTTTAATCCATTCCATTTTGATCATACATTTTTTAAAGTTTAATTTCGGTCACTTTTATTTTCAATCTGTCTTATTTTGGTCACTGGAACCTAGGTAAAATAGTTAAATTTTAATTTAACCATTGAATTATAGATAGAATATTAATTTGAATTTAAACTTATATAAAATATTAATTTAACACTTAAATGTTATATAAAAACATTAATTTGACTCTTGGATCCAACCAAAGTTCATGTTGCTAGCCGCCACTCATCATTGTCGTTGGTCATTGTCGATTGTCGTCACCAATCACCACCAGACGTTGTTATTGATGATTGTTAGATCCCCAAAATTTTCAATTCATTCTTTTTGACCTCCTCAACATAAATTCAATATTCATTTCACCATAAAAATATAAGATCAAAAATAAAATAAAATAAGATTTGACCATGAAGGTTAAATTAGTATTTTATATGAAATTTAGAGTCAAATCAATATTTTATCTAAAATTCACGAGTCAAATTAAAGTTCAACTATTTTCACTAATATGTCAGGTAAGAAAAGTAACGAAATTTAACGGTAAAATGATCAAAACTATTTTTTTTTAAATCGATCAGATCAAAAATATAAGAGACCACGATTATTGTTTGCCTAATTTTAAACACATGGCCACATATTACATGAATAATTTAAAAAAGTTATGTAAAAAAATTAATTGGATTCTAATAGGATTGTTTTAACATATTAATTCTAAACTATTTATGCAAATTTTAGTTAATATTACGTTGTATTATCATAGTCAAAGGACGATTGCAATTTCGTTTATCTAGACAACTCAACAACCTTGGGCATAATTTGGGAGATTTTTTTTGCCCATTAGGGCATTTGTGTTTTTTATTTATTCCATTAGGAAAGTCGAACTTTTATTTTGAAAAATACGATAAATACTACAGTATTTAAAGAATTCGACATGTCGAAATGACGAGTTTTAATAAAAAAATATTTTTTATTCAAACTCATCACTCTAACGTGATAAACTCTAATAAAAATATAATTTTTTGTTAAAATTTATCACATCAAGGGAAACAGTTTGAATATAAAATATTTTTTTATCGAAACTCAAAATGATAAATTTCACTCACTGTAAAGATTATAGTAGATCACAAAATAAAATTGTATATCTTATTTTGTAAAAAAAAAAATCAAGCTGCCCTATGGGTCATGTAATCCCTGGGCCAAATACACTTTTACAATAATTTCTTCAAATACAAACATTGTGATCTAGATAATTGACATGTCAGATCATTATTAATGTCAAAAGTACATAATTATCTGTTAATCGGTCACATCGGAGCCGTCCATTCACATAAACGGAGGAGAAGATGAATTATTATTCTCCACAAATATTAAAAAATACATTCTTTATTTTATTTTAAATTATCTTTGGGAAACATAATGTTCTTTCGTAAAGTTTTATAGTACGACATCTTTAATATATAATTAAAATATATATTATTAATTTTTTATTATTTAAATAATAAAATTGGTAATAAAATATTTAAAATATTATTATTTTTACTTAAAATATTAATATTTTTAATATTTTTGATAAAGTATCCAACAATAACAAAACTAATAGAAAAAAATAATAAAATCGATAGCGCTTTACTGATTTTGTTAACAAAACTGGTGAAACGCCTAATAATAACAAAACTGGTATAAATAATAATATTTTCGATAATTTTTTACCAATTTTATTATTTAAATAATAACAAAATCAATAATACTTTTAACTGTAAATTAAGATTGTCGCACGTGATATTTTTTCTATTGTTTCTTATTATCAATTCCATAGACATTCTTATGATTATCCAAACTGTCCATAGACACTCTTTTGGACGTCTCAAACGTCATTTTTCGCCGGATTATTATAAATTACATAAATGATTAATAAAATAATAGCATAAGAAATTTTAATTACATAGGAGGTCTCTAAAATACAACAATTATTATAAATTGGTCCTTATGTTTTACAATATTTTATATTAGTCGTTCAACTATGACCCTATTCTAAATTAGTTTCTGAACTTTGAAATATTCTATACCAACCCTTAAATTGTTATCATTTTATTCTGATCATTACGCTAATGTGTTGCTAACTCTTATAGTTAAAAAATTAGTCTATCTTTTATGATCTCGAGAAATAAATCTAAAAAATTCTCGGATCCTTCAAAAATAGATTAACTTTTTTAGAATATCTCTAGTTCAATTCTTGAGACCTTCACAAACATATTAAATTTTTTAATCAATAGAATTAACGACATGTTAATAGAAAATATCAAATTAAAATGATAGGATTGATATAGAATGTTTTCAACCCGAATCGATATCTATGAACAAACACAAATGTAATGTACATTTCATTGTAAAATAGCATGAGATGTCAAACTTAAACGTCCCCCCACCCCAAAAAAAAAACTTTGATTCCATCATCAACTAATATTTTGATTAGATTCAGGGATTAAATTAATATTTTATTTATATTTTAAGAGTCATATTAATATTTTATCTAAATTTTAAGTGTCAAATTAATATTTTATCTAGAATTAAATGATTAAACTAAAAATTATTTTTTTATTAATGTATTATATCATCAAAATAATAAAAAGTAACATTTAGTGACTAAAAAGTTAAAAAAATAACATAAATACTTAAAATAAAATATTTTTAAAATCAATAGTTAAAAATAAATAAAATAAAATTGACTATTTTAATAGTGTATCCTACTGGTGATGGTAACCACACGAACGAAAAAAAAATCATGAACTTCGTGTATCATGCGTAACGAGTTTACAATAATACCCCTTCCAGATTCCAAATCCAATCGATCTGCGTTTCCAAAGCCAGGTAATTAGATATTTTTGAGGGATCGTAATGGAAATTTCCGCAATACTGCCGTGAATGAAAAGGAAAATTTTGATGGTTAAGTGATTAGATCCGGACCGTACACGTTTCTTGCGATAATTGACTGTTTTCTTGGAAGTCACCGGCCCTGGAAACATCAACGTGGCCTCAAAATAACTTCCTTTAAGTTACGAAACTGCCATTTTCCACATTTTCTGAAAATATTTTTTGAATGGTTTTGAAAAATATTTTTTAATATTTCATCATTTTCTAAATAAAAAATTTCGACATATTTTTAAATAATTGGATACCAGAAATCTCATTTTAAATCCAATACTTCGTATTATATATAAATCTTCTAATTTAAACATATTTAAATATATAATATATTTTATAGTAATTAGTTCAAGATTTATAAATAATTCTAAAATACATATCAAGTAATATGCTTAGAAAACAAAAAAAAATGATAATAAAAAGAGAGAGAGAGAGAGTAAGAATCAACTAATTGATCAATGAAATAAGGTATTGCATACTTTAAATAAAATTAAATATTTAAATTTTAATATTATAAATTAAATTTAAAATATCTTTTTTATTATTATAAATTATCATAATATTTTATTTAAATTTAAATTACTTACTGATAAAAGAAAATGGTCAGAAGCATTTCACCTAAACAAGCTAGAAAATGTCAAGATCATGGATGGCAAAATAAATTCTCATCAAATTAAAATTATTTAAAGAAAATATTTATTTGAATGAAAGATGCATGTATCCATATCTTTTGATTTTTTTCTAAAAAAAAAGTTTAAAAATTAATCAAAAGTGTAATTGAAGAAATTATCTGAAAAATATTAATAATAAAATGCAATAATCAGTTGGTCTAGTGAGATGAGACACTAGATCCCTTAAGCAATGTTAATGGTTCGAATCTTGGCCATTGTGAATAGAGTAAATTAGGTTGTGAGGGTTGCCATTGTCTCTGTAAACACCAATTTAAATTAGTCGATCAATAGATCGGATACGAATAATTAAAACATGTGGACTAAAACGGGTATAAATTAATGTTCGTGCCCCATTTAAGAATAAAACTCAAAAAAGAATTAAGTAGGGGCAAGAAAGTAATTGCAAGTGGTATATAAATGAGAAAGGTGAGGCTATGATTTGCCGCGTAAATAGTGGAAAATTTGCATTAACCAATCGGCAACGTCAATTCCCACTATATAAATGCCGTCTAACGCCCAATATTTTCTCAGAAAATTTTCCCACTTTCTCTTCAAATTTCCCATCCAAGAAACAAGGAATCCTTCCGTTTCTCCACAGTTCTTCGGATCAGATTGCTTATAGTCAGCCATGAAGAAATCAGGGCTATTCGCTGCCTCAGTCGCCGCCGCCTCTGCCTCTTCCACTTTCACTTGTAACTCCAATTTCCAGTTCTCCGGCGAGGTAAAATCTTTGAACTCAATTCCGGGTCTCTCTCTTTTCCTCTGGTTTAGTTGAAAACTGGGTTTTGCTCTGTTTGGTTGCCAAGAAAAATATTCTCAATATTTCGTTGTAATTTCAAATTTTGAATGTTTATAAAACTTCTGTTTAAAGATGACGATTTAATTTTGCAGGACAAGAAAGAAGATGAGAATTCTTCTGCAAACAAAAAATCGACTTCGACTGAGAAATTTGCACCCAGGTTTGATGGGTTGAGGTTCATTGAGACTTTGGTCACTGCTCATCGATGAACAAATCAAAGCTTGATAACCACAAGCTTCGATTCTTTTCTCCTTAAAACTGATGAAGAATTTTCGCTTTTTTTTTTTTACCTGTTTGGTTCATAATTCTACGAAGGAAGCGAAAGAGATGCACTTTATAATATTTCTCCAATTTTTGAGCCCCTTCTGTTCAAAATTGTTTCCATAATGCACCATATGTATATCTTTTAATATTTATGTATAAACTATATGTCGACACGGTTTTTTTTCGAAGGGAGAAAAAGGAAGTATCGATTGAAAATAATTTGATATTATTATTTTTTGAATCGATATTGAATTTTAAGATATAATAATAATATCTTTACATTTCGATTGAAGAAATAAATTAAACGATATTAGATTGAATGATCCAAATAACCTAAATTTATAATAACGATAGACATATTTCTTAATATTCTAACTCAATTATAAAATAATATGTGTGTTTGACTTTAAATTTTGACAATTATATATACTTACATTCGAATCATTTTTTAATAGGAGTAACTACTTTTATTCAAAATAGGAAATATCATCGATTACAATAAAGATTTACAGTTACAGTCGTAAATTAAACACGTAATTAGAAAAAATTTCGATAATCATTGAAATAAAATTAACAACTTAAGATCACATAAGGACTATATACAAATAAATCTGATTATATCGACAAACAAATCACAAAAGGGGATCAAACTGTTGAAAGACCATCGACAAGCCATAAACCATACTTGAGTGACGTGAAAAGCTATTCACGAATGCAAATAGGGTACCCAAATCCGATTTGAGGGTCTAAAATAGAGAAGATTAACAAGATATCAAATAAGTGTCATATTGATCAGTCGTGACGATGTCAAATCAACCATAAAAAAAGAGAAATGAAACAACGAACAAACAACAACAAAAAACATAAGAAAACGTGTCATAAAAACATATAAAAACGTGACATCCAGACAAACATATTGTAAATATAAAAAATAGAGATAAGATATAAAAAAGAAAAAGAAAATAAAGAATACCGACGGTCGATAACTAATATTAAAGTTGGTGTCGTTTTCGATCAACAAAGATGAAAAAAAAAAAGATAAACGACACACCAATAAGAGAAAACTATGTTCACTGTACATATTTAATTTTAATTTAATTTTAGAATTTTAAAACTTATTATGTGGCATTGGTGCTACCAGTGGTCGCTTTTCATCTTTAATGCGTATTATGGAATGTTGATTTTTCCAAGTCGCTCTCGACCCTTTCGGTGAGCAGTGTGAGATCAGCAACATTATCGGCTGTTTTGATTCTATAATTTATTTAAGACTTATTAATATAAAAATAAGAATCTAATTTATATTCAAAATTTTAAATTTTGGTGTTTAAAGATTTTTCGTTAAAAATAGATGTTTAAAGTTTTATCCGTTATATTTTTAAGTATTAAATCAATACATATAATATTCAGATATTTCTTAAAAGCACTTTTAAATAATATTTTATTTAAAAAAAAAATAAACGTAACACATGTTACTTAACGAGTCTTTTTTTAATGATGATCATCTAAAAGTATAACAGAAAAAAAACATTATATATCTATTTTTAACAAAAAAACTTCCTTAGATACTAAAAGTCAATTTTAAGTGTAATATAAACACTTTTTTTTATCAAATCTTTATTTAAAAATAAACTAGTCACGATTAATAATAATATAAAATACTTAGATTAATATATAATGATTAACATTTATTAACGGGTATTATCTAAATTTACTTTAAATAAATTTATTAATTAATATTTGATTAGTTTATAACATCAGTTCGATTAATTTAAGTTATTTATTCGAATAAATATTTTTTTAGTTTCAAAATTAAACTCATACAGACAATGAAGGTAATGGTATTGGAAACAAGTGTTGGTAATGCTCAATCACACATAGTATTGGAAATACTATTGGGAATGGTATTTAAGGCTTGGCTTTCCCACTTCCTTGTTGAGTGATAGAGAATAAGGGGGACTCTCGCGCGCCGCCGCCGTCCCGTCTCGGGTCGGGTCGGGTCGGGTCGTGGTCGTGGTCGTGGTCGTGGTCGTGGTCGTGGTAATACGTGTCTTCGACACGTCCGCGTGAAATCTATCTTTTTAGAGAAAATTCTTAAGAAACAAATGCAATATTTAGACTATCACAACAATTTGGAATGAATCGCAACGCGAACTTTGACTATCACAACGATTTGGAATCAATCGCAACGCGTTGCGAATCTGGAAACTGATTTGCGATACCGGAGATCGCATTGCGAATTATCGATCATTTTGGCAAATCCAAAAAAAATTGGTCAAAATCGTATATTACAAGGTATTTTCGATCACTGAGGTTATTTTCTCTATTATAAAAAGGTGTATATTATTAGGATAAATTAAGTTTATATATATATATATACATATTTGTTCATGACTTGTCTACACGACAGAGAGAGACGACGATAAACAATTGAAGTTTTGTCTAATAGTGAGCTTATGTGCTAATCTCATCCAGTTAAACACTTTTAGGGATTAATTATTATTTGCTTAATTTTAGGGATTAATTAATTAGATAAGGATGGGGAAAAGAAACAACAGATGCAATGTTTTTTTTCCTTGAAGTGATTCAACTTTTAAAGTAAGGTCGTTTCATTTGACTTTATATGACATGTATCGACCAAATTAATGGGATCGTATCATCATCCGTGATCCTAAGAAGATTCATTCGTAACCGTTTTTTAAGGTGAATCTTCACTTCTTTCTTACATGTAAAATGTAGTAGGTAGTCATTTGGAAATTACCTAGATATCCATAGATTTTATTGGTTGAGACCGTATATAACGTGGAGAATCGAGTTCATCTAATAACTTATGGTTGGTAAGAGATGGCATATATTAACCCTACGTTAAAAAAAATAAAATTTAAAAGTAATTATATTGTGCATTTTATTAAATATCTTTTAGGAAGATAATAATAATTATGTAATAAATAATTTTAGGGTGATTATTTGATCGTCCAAGTTCATGTTGAACTGCTTGACAGATGGGATAGACAAAAATAATTATAACTGTGCTATGGAATGATATTTAGTGAAATAGAATATCACGAAAAAAAATAAATTAGTTGACCTTATTCCGATATGTAATGGGGTAAGGAGAGGTAGGATAGTAGGTTGCCCCCAACGTCAGGTTGAGAGCAGCTTATGTGGGAGACCTCCAACATTATGAATTGCCTATCGTGAGACTTGATCCCACGACCATAAGGTTAAGAGCCTTGCGTTCTACCAATTGAGCTGGACAGACAATATATACCATTGATCACGAGGTAAACATAATATATACCTAGTGACAAACGCATGATTTTAAGTTAATAGGAACACACTACACACTTATAAAATTTTAATAAGACAAAAACTAAAAAATTATCTGAAAAATCTCGAACAAAAGATAGATATGAATAGATCTGACTATATCGACAGATAAATCACAACACATATCAAACTTTTGAAACACCACTGACAATCGTAAATCAGATTTGAGTGTCCAAAGAAAGAAAAATCAATATGATAATAAATGAGTGGCATCTTGATTAGTCGAGACAAAGTCGAATCTAATCCTAAAAAAAATTAAATGAAAATAACGGCTAACGATTAATAAAAGGAATAAAAAAAATCTAAAAGATAGAGAAAAATGTAACTATAAAATTGCATCATAAATGTAAAATTATTACAAAATTAATAAACAAAAGAAAATTAATTGAAATCCAAAATATTTTAAGATTAATTTCTTAAAATTTGAATCTTAATTTCACTTCCACACACATTAATTTTTACTATCGAAGTATTTTTGGATAAAATTTCCAGACTTAAAATTTTTTATTTTATAAAAAGAAAAAAAAATAAAGAGACAAATCGAAATTAATGCCTAAAAACAAAAAGGATTATTAAAACCAGTGCTTGAGATTTATAATTGCTCTTTCTCAAAAACAAATTAATTTTTGAAAATTTCCCTTATTTTTTATTTATTTTAAAAAAATCGAAGGTATAAAGAAAAAGATAAACAGATGATACATGCTACAAATTCATTAGATAAAAAAATATTTTTAACAAATAATATAAGATAAACGTTATCAAGATAGTCAATCGCGAGTTGGATAGTGCTTAATTCATGCTCGTTAAAAAAATTTATTGCTCGACTCAAATCGTTACTTTTTAAGCTCGTTAAAATTTTACTCGACTTGTGCTAGTTAAAACAACTTGTTACTTGACTCGTGCTCGTTAAACTCGTTGCTATTTAAGCTTATCGAAATTTTTATCTTATCTTTTTTAACTATGTATAAATCTAATAATATTTTATGGAGCTTAATATAAACATAAACTAATAAATTTAACAAAAAAATATCAAAAGAGTATATGCAACAAATTAAAAGTCTAAACTTCAAAATAACAATACACACATATATTTAAATAATAATTAGGGTTTGATTTTTAGGTGTAATAAAATAATAATTATTAATTTATAAACTTAGTATTTTTTATTTTTTATTAGAAAACTAATAGATTAGTCGTTTATCATTTTTATTATCTAATAGTAAATTAGTCATTATTTTAATGAAATATTTTTTTAAGACAACTACTAAAAAATTATAACAACTTAACGAGTTGCTCGTAAATTTTATCGAGTTAAGTTGGAGTTTGTTCGACTCAGCTCGTTAAGGTCTCAAGTCGAGCTCGAGTTTGAACCAAGTCAACCCGAATCAAAATTTTATTGAGTTTTAACCGAGTAGAGTTCGAGATGTTCATAAGTTGCTCAACTCATTAAACACGTAAAATAAATAAAAAAAAATTACAATTTATCATTTATTTTCTAATTAAGCTAATAATAAATAATATATCAAACAGAATAAATTGTATTTTTTAGGTGAAACAATATTTTTTCTCCAACTTTTTATTCGTTGGCGTCACTGACAGAGTCGATGGCCGGCCTCTCTTCTACTTTACGCTTCGGGAATTCAGTCTCACTGCCGACCATGATGATCTCACGACCGGCAGTTTCTCTATCTAGTCGCCGACTCTTGCCGGAATTCAAAGGATTGAGGATCCAATCATATTCAACGATTTCGTCCGCGCCGTCGGATTCGAGATATCCTAGGGTTTCTAATCGTAGAGGACGCTTTGTTTGCGAAGCTCAAGAAACTACTCTTGATAGTAAGCTCTGCTTTCTCGGTAGAAACTTTTCGAATTTCGATTGAAATTATAACTGATGCTAATGTGGGTTTTGAATGAAGATTGAAATAGCTCTACTTAAGAATTGAGGGGGAAATATTTTAGATTTACAGTTCAAGACTTGAGACTGAGAGTGTCGTATTTTTGTATGTGGATTTATTTGATGTGATGTGAGATGGAACTCTTCAAATAAAGGCCTACTTTATGTCAATGGAAGATAGTAGGATTAATCGATTCTGACCGGTTTCACTGTCCGATTCTTATATATTCTCCGTGTTCTTCGGGTTTCTTATTCCATGGATAGAGTTAGTTTTTGTAAGTCTAGGAAGGAAGTATAAAGGCAGAGCTTGGTGTGAGTTCTGATTTCCATTTTTCTTGAAATTGGAAGCTGAAAATGATGTTCTCAGGACTTGAAATTTTAACTTTTCTGGCCAAGTTCTAGTAACTTTGCTGAAAATGATGTGTTGATAAATCAAGAAATGCTTGAACAATGGAAGATACCATTATGTTTCTGTTTTAGTTGCATTGTTTCTAAAAGTTCATGTAAAATATTGTCTTCCAAACCAAGAATTAATAATTTGTTTAGTATATCTTCTTATAAGGATAATTTATAGGTAGGCAATAAGCTTCCATCCATGAAAATTCATTGAAACGTTTTGTCGTTCTATTCCGTCGTTGAATCTGAAGCTGGACTATAGTTGTTTTTATTGAAATCAGACTATATTTTTAGTTAAGTAGTTTTTCAGTGTCGACAAATGAGGTTTCTGTGTTGTTAGAAGAGAACACTATGTTATTTCATACAATGGCATGTGGCCTAGTTCCATAGCAGTGACCTGTAAACTAGCTGGCTTTGCAACCTAAATGAATCGAGCATAGCTTGGATCAGTTTCCTTCGAATACGTAGTAGTTTCGCTTATGTTAGATTTCCTTGTTTCTTGGATTTTTGTTGGCAGTTCCGGCCGTGACTGATGAAACATGGCAATCACTTGTACTCAAGGCTGATGGACCTGTATTAGTCGAGTTCTGGGCTCCATGGTGTGGACCTTGCCGCATGATGGATCCTGTAATAGGTGATCTAGCACAGCAATACGTAGGAAGACTCAGGTGCTTTAAACTAAATACCGATGATAGCCCCTCGATTGCTACCAAATATGGAATCCGGAGCATCCCGACGACCATGATCTTTGTGAATGGCGAGAAAAAAGATGCAGTTGTCGGTGCTGTACCCAAAACTACCCTATCAACAAGCATTGAGAGATTCTTGTAGATAGCCCATAGGTAGTGATATTGAGTGAGATGTCCAATACTCATCACCCATTCGGCTTGGTTAGATGCTTTGCCCTCTCCATCTGATGTTGAAATCTTCTCTACTTCGTTCTCAAATTTGGAAACTTTGTCATTATTTTGAAAGTAAAAATTATTGGTAATTTGCTCCAAATACAATCGATGCTTACCTTTTAACCAAATTTTAGGTGGATTTAGCTCCTTCCTTTGATTACCAAAAGTACCAAAACTTTTCACTTGGTCATTGCTAGCTCAAAATCGTATGTACGATCAAGTTTAGGATGAACTTTTCAAATCTCGTATTGTTTGAATATAGAAGTTTTTCAAGTATTTGAATATAGCATTTTGAACCTACATTAATCGAGTGATTGAAGATAAAGTTAATATACACGTGTTGTTGCTTGACCTGGTTCGTGCTCGTATAAATGTCTTTGACACACATCGAGTACGTTTATTCTCTTCGATAAAATTCAAATAACTTTTTTTTTATTTATATTTTCATCTCCTTTTCCCCTTATTTCATTTCTTATGTTCATATTATCGCCACCTAGGTAGAAGATGCTTCATGTAAAAAAAACCCTTTCAAAATCATTTCATTCCCGATCTGAATTTATCGGTCAATAGATCGGATACCAGTGACTAATTCAAAAAAAATCATTTCATGCTAAAAAGAATGTTTTAATCTTATATAACATAAAAGAGTATCAATCCGAAACATAATTTAAAATAAATGTTATTTTTATATTGAATTTTTATTGGATGATATTAAAAATTTTACTAACTGGGGACTAAATTGTCAAAAACTATATGTTACAAATATTTTAGTTAATGCTTATCCTCTCGGTGTCTCTAGTATTTTATTTTAAAATTATTGTTTATTATTATTTTCCTATTATCTTCATAATTATTTGTCTTAATATTTTAGTTACTGCTTCTTTTGTTCCTTTAAAGAATATCGGCTTCCGTCTCTTTCTTTATCATAAAGCCTTAAAAATCCTATTCCGTTTCAGCTCAACCTCAATTACACACCAGTTTTGGTTTCTTTAACCATTGAGGAACCAAAACAACAGCTTTCCTCTGTTTTCTCAGGTTAACATAAGGGAGACTCGACAACTAACTGGTATGTTATCCAAAATTTTTGCACGTATAATTACTGTATTTTACCTTATATTTTCTGGGTATGATTCTGTTTTCAAGTTTGGATTGGTTATGTTTACATCCCGTGATACTCTGTTTCAGAGGCTCCCCTGTTTCTTTTGAGCTTTCTATAATCAAGCTATGAAGATGCTTGCTTATCGTTTTTATTTAAGTTTGATGAAGATTTTCTGATGATTTTGGTTTCTTTTAATCAAATTATCCATTTGCTTTTGAATGATTTCAATCTTCAAACAAGTGTTCTCTACTCCTTTTCTGGTTTTGATTATGTATAGGGTTTCTTAACTATGGAAATCTGTATTGATTATCCATAAAAGCGAACTAAATTTTATGTCAGGAATAAAATCTGATTATCAATGGTAAATATAAAAAAAAGTCTACATTATATAAGAATTTAAAATTTTCAGAAACGATATAATCTTCGTTAAATTTTGACAGATCTTGGCAGGCACATGGCCACTGAACAGTACTTGGAAGGCAAAGATTGCTCGGAGAAGTGGAAGGATTCGCCGGGTGTGATGGCGGTTTCGGATGATAATCCTTCGAGAGGCTTCGACTGCAACATCTGCCTCGGCTCGGTGCAGGATCCGGTGGTCACGCTTTGCGGTCACCTCTATTGCTGGCCCTGCATCTACAAATGGCTACATTTTGAGAACCAAGACCAGGGACAGCAGGAATGTCCTGTATGCAAAGCCGAAGTTTCGGATGCCGCATTGATTCCGCTCTACGGCAGGGGTGTAACAGCTAAGGAATCGACAACCGACACTCCCCGACTCGATACCGACATACCAAAGCGACCTCTCGGTCCCACCGGTGGCACTCACACGACACTACGATCGCCAAATCCTACCTATAACCCGATGCCTAGTCCCGGTGTCACGACGATAAACGTACCGGATCCGGTGATCCGAATGTTGGGCGAAATGGTGTACACGAGAGTCGTCGGGGACACGGTTACGAACTTTTATACGTATCCGAATTCGTACAATCTAGCGGGGAACGGTAGTCCTAGGATCAGACGGCATGTACTGCAGGCCGATGAATCACTGGGCAGAATAAGTTTCTTCCTCTTCTGTTGCTTATTCTTCTGTCTACTTCTGTTCTGACTTCTGAGCTTCATCCTCTCTGCTTCCGTTCCCATTTTTTTACCTGTACAGACGATCATGCATCTACTTAACTATCTAATAATAATTATTGTACTCATCGTTAAGGATGGATCGAGGGATTAGCGAGACGATAATTTTAAGAGACTTTTCAATTTTTATATAATTTTAATATTTATTTATATTTTATATTAATAATTTATTTCATCTTATAAAAGTTTATAAATTTACTTTTTAATGTAAGATTTTACATCATTGAAGTCGAGTTGTTACTTTTTAAATAAATTACTTGCAATGGATGACAAATTTTCCAGCTGTTTAAGCTTGTTTTATATGAAATTTTCATGATCGTTTGATGTGTATTGGCATTATTCTTTTTTGGCAACATGTAGGACTGACTGAGAATTTAAAATGTTTAATTGACGATCTTTAATATACCAAATCGAAAAATATCTACGTAAATATTATTATTGGCAGTTTAATATGAAGTTAAGAAAATATGTTATTAAAAATATTAATATTTTTTAATATTTTCGGTAGAGTGTTACATAAAATATTATTTTTTGACCGAAAATAATAATTTAGTTATCTAATTTTCGATAAAAAAATCGGTAGAAAAAATAACTTTTTAAGTAATATCCAATATTAATATTTTCGGTAACGATTTTGCTTAGTTATATAGTAATTTTTCCCTACCATAAACATCTCCCTATATATAATGTTTAGAGTTCCTAATTTCTTTTTTCAATTGTAATTTCAACATTGTTATTCTTTTTCTTTCCCTTTTTCCTGTCAACCAGAATTTATCTTTCTTGACTCAGCTATATTTGACTGGAAATGTTCATTTGTGGCAACTTCAATATACGGCTAAAAAATACGTTATCGATTTTGTTATCATTTAAATAATAAAACGGTAAAAATTACCGGAAACATTATTATTTCTACCAGTTTTGTTATTATTGGGCGCTTTACCGGATTTGGTAAAGCGCTACTGGTTTTGTTATTTTTTCTACCGATTTTGTTATTATTAGGCACTTTTACAGGAAATACTCATTTGGATATATCTGGATATTCAATACACACAAGACAATCGTCCTACTGCTAAAGTAACTCGGGTGCCCTCATCGTTTTCCGAGTGACACACATAGGCATAAGTCTTATGAAATCTTACTTCATAAGGCTTTTATGGTTACACATAATTAGTGTTATTATCTCATTATTATTATTATTATTAGGATTTTCTCTACAGCTAAGTCTGAACACACGTCTACCAATACCACACTGTGGCAAACGAAGTAGCTCGAAAACTCGCTATCAAACTTATTAAAGTCAGGTGCTGTCATTAGCACTTAAAGGGTGTTTTAGTCATATCTGTCTCCGGAGATATCTCTAAGCGTTTCACGATTTCCTGATGATTATGGTGCTAACAGTACACTAACTGAAACACTAGTTAGCCCAATACCTGACTCGGGTTTATTATTGGGTAACAACACTCTTATTGTACTTCTCCCAATACCCCTTGAAGTAATGGAACGACTTCTCCATCGTTGGTTCACTAACGTTCTCGAAGCAACATGCTCTTTGTCAATACTGAATTTGAGATATTTATCGTACCGTTCATCGGATATCTCCTGTAATGATCCTTTATCCCAATTAATCCATATACGTCCTCGATTGAAAGTACTTTGGCGTATTACGCTTATCATGGTTACACCTGATGTAACCTTCTACTACAAGTGTTTTTGGGTATATATGGTCATTTATGTCCATCATGGACTAAGTTTTACTATTAGGGATAGTCCTTAGGTCTTACGGGCCTTAAACAGGTGAAATCTAACCATTCAAAGTGAGTAGTATCGATACTTTACTTGTAGTATCGATATTTTAGGGGTAAAGTATCGATACTCCTATGAGTATCATTACAAAAAATGCATCATGTTTCAAAATTGGGGCCTCATTATCGATACTCCCCATGGTAGTATCAATACCCCAGCCCAAAATCCTTATTTTTTGCCCTAATTTAACCAGTATCAATATTGTTCATCCCAATATCGATACTCAACCCTTGGAACTGATATTTTAGGCTCGGGAAATACTCAAATTTCATCCTGAAGGCCATAGTTTGATTCCAAATCATGCATCAATGTTGTGGTTAATTATTTATGGTCTTAAGGTGTCATAAAACACATACTAAACAACAAATTCATGATTTATGGAGTGAATCAAATATGAAACCCTAAATGCTCAAATACACAAATCTTAACAAAAACCATGAATTTATGAAACCTTAATACTCCAAATGATTAGAAATACACTACCTTGATACTAGGATCCCGAAACGAAGCTCATTTTTCTATCAAGCACCCCCTTTTTGACTTAGTTGAATAAAACCCCTCATTTTCATGCAAAACAAATCCAAAGCTTGAATTTTCAAAAATAATGTTGCTAGGGGTTTATTAGGACGAAAATAAAGCATAGAAGAGCTAAAAATCTTACCTTGCTAAGGAATTTGGAGAGGAAAGAAATGAAGAAGAAAAATGAGGAAGAATAAATAAAGAGAAATATAAAATGGGAGTGAAACCCATATCTAAGCTTGATATAAAACTCTAAAATCAGCTTCCAAATTCCTCAATGGTCTAATTACACTTTTATTCCTTTGCATTTTGTCCCTTTATTTAAAAATCCCCTTTTTATGACTAATTGGGCCTCAAAACCCACCCAATTAAGCCCAACAACTTAAACCATAATATCCGCGAGGTCCACTTACCTCTCGGGTAAACCCGAAACTACTAGGTTGGGATTTAGAGTGTTACAAAAAGTTTAGTGGTATAATTGATACATCACCTTAAGTTTTGTGATATCTGGAGTAGTTTTCCCTATAATAAATGCTTTATAGTTTTTTTTAAGTTAGAGTGCTTACAAGTGATAATATGTGTTCTAAAGATTTTCAATTATTTGATAATGAACATTTAAATATCATGTAATCGTTCTCTTTTCCTTTTTTCTTCTTTACAACTTGTGTCAATTTTATTGATCAATCAAACTTTTTCTTCTTTAATTTTGTTTAACCGACAACGACACCAATTTTGATGCCAGTTGCCGCCCCTGATTATCTTTTTTTATTAGTTTTTCAATAAGAATAATTATGTCTTTGTGACATGTTCTCTGTCTTTATGACACTTTTATCTCTGTCTTTTTGTAACTTACAGTTTTTTGCCGTTGTTTTCATTTATCTTTTTTTCACAGGGTTGAATTTGACATTGCCACGACTGATCAAGATAAGACTTATTTGTTATCATGCTGATCTTTCATGCTTTGGATCCTCGAATTGATTTGGATATGCATTTTGAGCTTGTGGATAGTTTTCTCACGTCGCTTGACTTTGATTTGCGATTTGTCAGTGGTCTTTCAGTAGTTTCATCCCTTTTTTATGGTTTGTTCGTCGATGCAATCAGATTTGTTCGTATATTTATTTTATTCAAGCATTGGTTAGGTTTTTTAACCTTTTCCTTTTATGATCCTTGTGTGATCTAGGTGATTAGATTTTGTGTTAATGGTTATAGGAAAATATTCTAATCATAATTTAGTTTACGTTTACGGTTATGTTCTTCTTTGCAATTCTGGATATTTTCTATTTTTAATAAAACTAGCATCTTTCTACCCACAAAAATATCTTATAATCGTTAGTGCTCGAACTCAGAACTTTTAAAAATAACAATCATTCCTTAATCAATTAATTAGTTTGGTTCTTGCACGTGAAAGTTAATCAATAGTATTATGGATCAATTTCAATTGAATTAATTTTTATGAAACCAAATCTAACAAACCCTAAGTCAAACTATTCACAAACACTTCTCTTAATCATCAGCCAATCTACTCACATGGCCAAAATAACATCTCATAAATGAATAGTTTTTATATAATATAAACTTTTCATGAATAAAATTAACCATTTTAAAGACATTTTAATAATAATTCCATGACAGCATATCAAATTTTCTCGGTGATTAAAAGAATAATTGTTATTTTTAGAGATCCTGGGTTCGAACACCAGGGACCGCATAAACCCGAGAGAATGTCACTACTAAAGAAGGAACACTTGCCAACAACTTTAATGTAGCTTTCGAGGCCTGCTGAGAAATTTTGTCGCGTAAAACTCGATTCAATTTGACGAGTAATTCGGGTCGTAAGATGATGATTTGCATTGGTTCTGCTAACTCCAGCATTGATTTCAACAGAAACACCGCATAAGCCCGAGGCTCGTAGCTTCCGTGTTGCATGCAGTACTCTCGTTAAGGACACTACGAAATCACCATTTCTGCCCATAAGACTCTCGAGAGCAGCATCCGAGAGTTGCATATTGTAGAGACTCGTCGGCCGCCGGAGACTCGTATTTACTCACAATCGAAGTCAAGAACTCGACTGCGCCCGCAGATTCGGTGCACGATCTTGTTTGTAACATCCGGAGAAGCGATCTATCGTAGCCACCTGAGACACTTCATCTGTTGCAATGGTGCCTTGGCATCATCTGTTGCAGATTCAATGCCATGCAAGCAATTGAAAGGCTCAAGGATGGCATGCTGCACCTAAAACTACAAGTGCAATTTCATAATTAAAACTTTTCAAGTGCAATAACTAAACCAACTTAATGACGAGTTCGATAATAATATGGAACACAACAGGCAAGTGAAAAGTCAAGCTAATGTTTCAACAACAAATATTATTCAAATAATTTTTATGCTCTTAATAAAAACACAAAAAAATATATAAATATTCCATTGAATCAAATTAAGTTAATCAAATCGATGAGTCATAATATGGGTTAGGATCCGCTTACACGTGTGTAAAACTTTTTTTAGGACTGTTGGATTGAGGGAAATCAAAGGATGAGATTAACTCATTTTTTTTTCAATGAATATATTCTCATTTCCTACTATTAATCTCAACCTTTGATTTTCTCTCATCCAACAATCCTAAAAACTTTTTAGTTTTACTTTTTCAAAGTAAAAAAAAAACTTTTGTATTAATTCTAGTCGGAGCTTTCGACGCTTACTTAGCATGAGACTCCAAGCTTTTCATGTACTAACTTCTGGTGCGCAGAATATTAAGG